CGACGCGGCGTCACCCAGACAGCCCAGATCACGCACATTCAAAGACATAGGCGCACTAGTTCCGTCTGCGGTGAGTTCTACCGATTTCACCAACCTTCGTCAAATTACCGCCGGTTTCAACAACCTTCGTCAAGTTGGTCTTCATCATTTTTATCAATGTCAAATATTTGGCGCCTCGTTCCGTTACTTTCAGCGAGAAATGACTGTCGGTGAGCTTTGATAGTTTTGAGTAAATTCACTCTCTGAACCGTGTGCAGTTGTGTTGTTGGCCGTGTGTATGTGTAATGAAGTTTTTATTTGAGTATACATTTTATACAAAAGTGATGAATCTACGAATGAAAACAAAGCGCAAAGAAATATCAGAGTGTTCATGAACGTTCGTTTTTATTTCTGGGTTGGACTTGATCTAACGATTTGTATTAGTGGTAAGCATTTGATATAAAATCAAAATTGTTATTCTTTACTGACAAACCATTACCTAGAAAGCCATAGCAAACAATTACCTAGAGAGCCGTAGATGTCTGCCAAGCATAAAAGCGCAGCTAAAGAAAGGGAAAATAATTTGCTAGATGATAATAGACGATCACCCGGACCCTAAGTTTCACTCACGTTGTTAGCCTAAAGCTGTGGGCAGTGAGGTTGTGATGCTAAGCTACCTGGTTGCCGGTCCTTGCCCGGTAAACCACCATTCGGGCCTACGGTGCGTCGACCTTTTGGGCAGGATCGGATCAAGGAGATTCTTCGAAGTGCTCTGGAATCCAGCGGGAAACCGAAGCACCAGTCAGGTTGCCTAGATACTCACGTCGTTAGCCTAAAGGTGTAGGCAGTGAAGAGACGGTAAGGGGGCCCCAAGCCGCTTGAACCATAATTCGGCTATTGGGCTCTTGGCTTCGTCGAGGCAGTAGCCCGATTCTCTAGGCAAAGAGGAAGGACTTGTTCCCGGCGCATTCATTCGACTCCAGCACAAGCTCGGAGAGCTAGTAGCTCTGAGCTAACGAGGCGGCCCCAACCCCCACAGGGAGGTTGCCGTGAGGGCAAACTGCTTTCCGGTGGATCCGCATATCAGCCTTTCGGCGTGCTTGTGCGTCGGCGAGGGATGCGGATAAAGGCTAACGCTTATGTGTCCACCCTGGGGACTCGTGTGCCCTGGTAGAAAAAGTATTTGTGTGGGTTTGTAGCCCACGCAGATTTCTACTATTTGTTTGCCAACGCTATTAGTATTGTATTATTTAACTTTTTTGCATTTTGCACATTTTTCGCATTATATGTTCTAAAATTTCAAATGAGTTTTACAAAAAATAATTCAGAGAGAAATTGTGGTATAAAGGTAGAATTATATAACAATTACTAATGGCGATAAAGTACGTGCCGTTTTAGCACTACAAGTTTTTCAATAATTAGCATCTGGATTTATCCATTTTTTGTTACCAGGGCCCGGCATTAAGAGTTTTCGTGTCGAAAATTCGCCGTTTTCCGGCGCACGATTACAGTGCCTTTTACTTTTTCGCCTTACGATGTTCTTCGTAAGAACAGATTGTTATGTAATCGGGCGCCGGAAAAACGCGTTTTTCCTACGTTAGTAAGGACGTGTTGAGGCTGCGAAATATTGCTTAGATGATTGGGAGAGCATTTGGAGAAATTGCAAAGAGAGAAGTTTGTGCATCGTCTTGCTGTCATCGGACGAGAAAATTCTGAAAAGACGACATATAATTGACAAACATTATTACCATGCCATAATAATCAGTAAATTTTGAAGATTGTCATGGTTACCTGTAGACGAAAATAAACGTTCTCCTTACGAATTTCACGTCATTCATGCTTTCTGCTTCTTGCCGCATCTCAGAGCGCTGTTTCAAGAAAACTACATAGTAATTGCTTACTGCCAACGTACCACCAACTTTCATTGCGCCCAAAACGCGTATTGCTTAGCTTCTCTCAAACAATGCGAGCTCGTCGCGTCTGATGTGGGAAAAATTGGATTCCGGGGAATATGACAATGGGTATTTAGCTTCTTCGCGGCCGCCCAGGTGGAGCGATATATTGGTGACTTTGCGAAGCAGTTGGAGCTCCAATGCAAAGAGCTTCATACAAAAATGAATTTGTCAATCGTGAAAAAATTCGCGGGGTTTTGACCAAATTTAGATTCGAAGGCGCCAATTTTGAAATGTATCACCTTTTCTTTTTAAATACCTTCAAAGAGTAGCGAAACTGAGATGTTCGAAGCGTGGCGCCAAATTTGAATTAATTTGGCCGCCCATTGTCAACAGGGAGGGAAAGTAAAACGTAAATCTTTTATAACATACATTTTAAGATCGGCAAAATTAATGAAATGTCTAAATATATATTTTTTAAATTTATACCAACATTGGGGGAGGGGGGGGGCAATTGCCATCCCTATTGCCCCCCCCTCCCCTCCAATAACTCCTTAGAAGATCCTTGAGAGTGGACTTCACCAGATTTGTACGTATCACTGACACTTATTTTGGTTTTAATAGAAGGCTGCAGAAGATGTTGGTTTCCGAACTATAAAACGCCCAGCATTGTATTATTTTGGTGAAATGATAATTCAGACCCTCTCGTAGTCTGATATCTAATAATTATTGATTTCAGAGATGATAATATTTTCACTAAGTGGTATATCTGGACAACTCTCAAACACTTTTTATCAATTCAAATGCTTCTTCTCTTAAAGAACGTATTTATTCTCGACACATTGATTGACTTGTGGACTTAACATAGACTTAAAGCTAATATTAAGAACTTAATTGATAGGCTAATACAAGTGCCATATTTTCTCTGACATGACCAGAGACTCGAAAGGCAGGCCAAAGAAGTGACAGAAGTAGCAGGAAAAGTATATTCATTAAACAAAAGAAGGATACGCCAGAAGTTCAGAAACAAGCAGAATATTATTATCAAGGAATGAATTTATGCATGTTGAGAAAAAGATTCATGTATTAAAGGTAGTTTAACAAAGGTAAATTAGTTTAAATGTTTCAAATAAAAAAAGGAATTTTTGTTCTTTTTAGAATAAATTTTGTCAAGTGAATGAGTTTCATTTGACATTTGTTAAAGATAAGTCATTACTATTTTTAAAAGTATTTTTTTGACATTGTGAAAAAAATTAAGATTTACAGAGCTATCCATAACCACCAACTTGCTCTCGTGTACACAAATTTGGATTAGAGACTTAGATAAAAAACCAACAGATGTCATCTACCTGGACTTTGCAAAAGCAATTGATAAGGTTTCCAGAAATCCAATTTAAATAAAAAATTGATTTTTATATAAGTAGTTTAGAAAAAGTAATGTAATACTGCAGAAAATCAAAGACAAAATTTCGAGGGAAATATATTGTTTTTTTTCCTTACATTGAAAATGTGTTTATTAATTTTTTCCCATAAACCAATCATTCGTCTGTTTGTGGATAACATTAATGCCTAAATTGTACACAGGATTTTCAACGAATATATTTCCAGATTGATCTGGTTGATGTTGCAGCCCCTCAAATTTGAAACAAATCTTAAAAAAAAAGGTGGGGTATTTTAGGTTTCTAAACTTTTTAGACTAGGCTAGCTATTCAGTTCCCCCCATTCTTATTCAGTGTGTGTAATGCTATCGGACCCAAACGTTTCATGAAAAAAATTGGAAAGAATTTTGAGAGAAGTTTGTTTTTAAAACATAGTTTATTTCAAAGAAAATAACTCCAAAACTATTTATATTTTGAAAATAATATATATGCATCCATTTAAAGATCTTTTGTACAACAAATTTTATTCAGAGAAAAAATTCCTATCTTAAACACGGGAGTTGAAGGAAGATGCCAAAAAATGTTTGAACTTTTGCAATTTTACAAAATCCAGATATTTCAAAGAAACTGAAACTTATACCACTTTTTTAAAGTACCCAAGGACGAAGTTAATTCAAAAATTTGAAAATGTTCTAGAGTCTTCATGTAAAGTACCCCAAAAATTAAAACATCAATTTCTAATTCAAGAGTTCATAACATCAACCTGAACGATTAGATAACAACAATTTTGGTAAATATTCTGTTTACAATTTAGCTGCTAGTGCTGTTCACTTACAGACAAATGGAACAGACGTTTTGCTGTAAACCAAATTTTTGGAATCAAGGGTTTACAAAATGTCGATTCTAACTACACAAAAAGTAAGATGAAGTAATTTAATAGATACAGGAACAAGAGTTACCTTTTTTGTCAGGGATCTACAATACAATTTTGTTTTCAGAAAATCACCAATTTTGGCAGCAGCATTACATCATTTTCTCTATTGTACATCTGTAGTACACGAGAAAGTTACAAAACCTCTAACAATGATTTTCTCAAAAACGGCTCCAAATTTCCGTCTGGATACTTTTGCTAGGAAGGATTAAGGTTTGCTCGATAATGTGCCGTATTCTAATTTTTATTCATTTCACAGGAAATTCAAAAATTGTAATAATTAAAGTATTTGGAACCTGTTCTGGACTGTCAATATTGAAGCCAGAGATTTCTTTGTTCATGCAATCTATTACAGTTTACTCTTATTTCATGTACCAGTTCTAAATATTAATAGTTTCTTCATACTTTTGAGTTATAGTGTCAATGTTGAATTCTTTTCTTGATTCAGTCCTCCATCCACAATATTTATCCTAGGCACTTTCTTCTTAATGCAATATCTTAATCAATATTATGTTGTTTCTTTTTTATTGTTGGTTTTTTGTAAAAGAGACACAGAATTATTTAACTTATATTTTTTTTCAAAATATTGGAAGTTTTTGTGTGATATTTTATGAAGAAAATGGGTGCAATTTAGGACTACTTATGTCCAACTACACTTAGTTGGATTTCCTTTTAACAAAGCAAAATTAGAAGAAGTCACATGGAGGTCTTCAGTACGTGTCACATGAAGAAATGCAAAAAAGACCAAGGTATTGCTAATCAAAAAAGGGAGACGTGGTTGAATTTAAGGTATTATGCATAGAATTGAATTATTTCCAGGAGTTTTTTATTTATTTTTTAATAAGCAGAGAAATGTTTGAAGAGTTGCAAAATTTTGCAAGAAAAAGAATCAAAATAAAGATCACTAACTGGAGAAGAACCACTGAGAAGCAGGAAATTGCTGTAGGTTACTGTTATGAACACAAAAAATTGCATCTGTCCACAGACCAGTGCAAATTAAGGTCTGTTTCAGCAAGACAGGCTGCCTCCTCTTTGATTACATGCAAGCAGTCCTTTAAATTCATGTTTACACCAGACAGTCTGCACTGCAACTTTGAAGACTGTCCACTCTGTGTGACAGACCCTTTAATAAGCATTTACCTAATTAAGCTTGAGAACAATTGTACATAATGCACTTTTCAAACAAAGAAAATTTCTAAAGCGATTTTTTGAGCAGTTTTGGACATTGCACAATTTTATTCACGGCTAAAATGATACATAATTAATAAATTCTTGGTCACTACTTCTTTGAAAATAATTTTTCCAAGGACATAAAAAAAAAAAAAAAAAATAATAAAATAAAAATAAAAATAAAAAAAGTCCATAATTTGCCAATTTCCTGACATTTCCCTGTTTTCCAAGTCTCTCATCAACCTGCTTCGTAAGAATAGTACAGAATAGTGAACACAATTGCTAGGTGTTTATTTATCACCCACAGGTTGCAACATTGTCACAACTTGAATAATGAAGCTCCAAAATAAATAAGTTGAAATTTTTCCTCGGCAATTCACTTTTGGCAAATGAAATTCAAGTTTAATCGAGAAAGCTCGTATGCTTCATACTAGTTCTGTTCATAAAAATTATTATAAAAAAATTATAATAACTAACATACTTTTTCAGAGTGCACCATGATTGTATCCCAGGAACAGGATAGTAACAGTTTTAGATTGAGCTACTCAGGACTCCCAACAATTTCTTAAGGTTCTCACACACTAATTCGTCAGGTTTTTTGTTCTTTATGTATAGAAATAATTCATATTTGTCATAAGTTATTGTTGCTGAAAGTTGTAATTTTGATTAAGAAACTTTATGGATGGCTAAAACAAATTAATCAACAAGGTGTATTGACACCTTGGTTACAATGAAGATACAACTCATCACAGATAGCCAAGAGTCAACAGCCACTGGCCACAAACCCATTTCTAGTCAATAAAACACGAATTTCAAATAAATGAGACTAAAAAACCAACAACCTCTACAAAATTATTACTATTTTGATTGTTGGTTGTATTTGTACAGTAAACTGTATTGTCAAGCAAATCTGCATCTTGAAACAAAGTAATATTTCAGAGCCCACAGGTAATTTATTATTCAGATTTACACACCCCTAATTTACAAATTTCAGTTTCTGAAACAAAGAATTTGGTAACTTTTTTTACCAATATTATCCCAGATATATTACATTGATCAAGGATAGGAAATCTCAGGTGCATGCTCACTAGTTGAACTAAAACACTTTACTACATACTAAAATCTAAATTTACTTCCTTTCCTACAAATTCACAGAATTACATAAAACATTCACTGGGAAATCAATACTTAAAAGAAATGAAACTAAAAATTAATTACAAGCACATATTATATGTAAAATATAACAACTGCTGGTATGTCAAGACGTTAAATTTCATTTCAATATGCATTGATAAGAAAAATTCTTCTATATAATAACATTGGACAGAAATGTTCTCTTGATTATTTACATAGTTTCCAAGTTTCATTTTTTTTGCTACACATTTATTATTCTGTGAGCAGATATGTTTATAAAACTGTAAACAAAGGAAAAAAAATCAATGAAACGAATTTATATAAGAATATGTAGAATTCCTCCTGAAAGTTTCCAGCCCCTGGCAATAAAGTGATTTTTGCAAAAATGATCAAATGATTTTCAACCTTCATACACTAATATTCCTGTTAAAGTGTAACAAATATTAAAACATGGAAATTTGTCACATTTTTATTCTTAAATAACTATGAAGTTTAAATGCTGACCTTTCCAAGAAATATTTTTTACTTCTTACGACCACCTCGTTCTTTCAACTGTAGTGCAATGACTGTTCCAGGCAGAATGTTATAATACGCCAATGAATTAGAATCCTTGAAGAATAAACCCTGGAATAAAAAAAAATTAAAAAATGCATATTAGAAAACTGCAGGATACAAAAATTAAGTCCTTAAATTGCTAAGATTAACAATTGGAAGACTTCACCAATCACCATCTTAAAATTTCAATTTGCACAACTTATTTATGCACGTTTGTTCTAATTCAGTTTGCATTCTTTGTCTTTCATGTGAGTAACCCATTTGAGTTCCCTTATGGGTTTCCAGATTTTCTTCCTGTCTTGCACCTATTTATCGCCTCTGATTCTTTATCAATAATTAACTTTAAATTCACATGATCATTCTTCTTTCTATTTGTAGTAAATAATTTTGTCTAACACATTCTTTATTTAGAATCCACGTTTTGTGAGTCCTTGATACCAAGAAATTAGCAGATTGTAAAATTTAGACTATTTTCACCAAAACTGACATTGATCTAGTACCAAACTAAGGCCCTATGAACTTGAAACGTTATTTTGATTTTGCAGGATACTTTACAAGAACATTTTCCAAATTTTCTCAAGGACTCCCAAGTTTTGGATAAACTTTTTTCTCGGATAGAGCAAAGGACACAGAAAAAAGACAGGTCTCATTTTCATTGAACTCTAAACTATTTAAAATTGCAACAATTCATAATTTGTTCAGTCTTCTAACAACTACAATAATAAAGATAGATACTTTTTCCTTAATAAAATTTGTTCTTCAAGAAGATATCTTTTTAAAAAAGTCAATTTTCACACAATTTTAGGATATTTATAACTTTTTCTTAAAAAGGTCTTTAAATTTCTTCCTCAGATGTAGCAAAGAATGGTGATGGCCCCATTTCCAGCAAACTCTCCATATTTTTAAAAATTGTAAACAATTAGCATCCCAAAACAAGTTGTTTTTGCATAATTTTTGCTTAAAGTTAATACAATCTCCCCTATTAAAAAAAAAAGATCACCACTCCAAAGTTTTTCTTTAATTTTTTCTTTTAGATAGAACAAAGGACACTTCAAAAAATAGCACGTCTTTTATTCATTGAACTCCCAGAATTTTAGAAAATTGTATTAGTTATAAGTAATGTGACAAAGTGTGTGCTGTTACAGAACTTCTAGTTTTTAATTCTGTCTCTATGGTTGGATGTACAATCATGGTGAATTTTTCATTTCATTCACTTTCATTTCAATCCCTCGCAAAATGGAGATTTGCACTCGCCAACTACGGCTCAGTGTGGACTTGTCAATAAGCACTTTGTATTACAACATTTTGTCAATGATTTTTATTCATTTGCTCATTGCATTTCACCTACTACAATGCCATTCGTTTGAAATTTTTTCTTTACCTGTCTGTTGAAAAATATTGAACTGAATTGACTCGCAAATCTGTGATTGGTACCAGGAATATGTTTGCGAAAATAGGATGATGTTGTGGTTTTTTCTTCTTTTTTTTCCTCCAATGAAGAAGTGTGGTATTTATCACCATTGCAGATTATTGTCACATCAGTATTAAAGTTTTTTGACATGGATAGGTGGTTTAAAACCAACACCCCAAATGACTGCTTAATATTTTTCTTTTTTTAAGACAACACCTATTTTTCAATGAAATATTTATGAAAAGACCTTGTCTTATTTTTGGGTAAATAGGGTCAGTTATTAGAACACATAGATTACCAAAATCTCACAGCTTTCGGAAATCACTATCTCCATATAGAATCTAATTCTTTTAATTTTCTCACTGAAAAGCTCTTTTATTGCCATCCTCTAATACTTCAAAATTGAGACAATTCTGTGCCAGAGGAGGTAAGGATATGTGGATTAGGGTGTGCTAGTAGAGGTAAGAGGAATATAATTAGGAGAACAAAGACCATTAATTAAAAATGTTCATGCAGGAAAAAAAATAATAATAAATAAATAAAAGGAAAAAAGAAAGAAAGAGGAAAAATAAAATATTCCCTGAATTTTACAGCAATATTCATTACAACTAAATAAGAACTTGATCTTAAGTTTGTAGTTTTAGTCAGATTATTTATGGAAATGGCACCCAAGAATTAATCCATTTCCACTTCAGAGTTTTCTATTATTCTACAAAGCAATGATTCATTATACAATTTATTTTCCTTTTGTTCAGGTTTCCATGTGCTACAGTATTAGATTAGGGTAGCATTTATCTTATCCCAAAATAGATCTCAGTATTTTTTTTAATAAGTCTGAAAAATAGCTTACCTCCCACTGTAATTTCTGTTTACCAGGAGGCATCCCAGTCTCTTCATGTATCTTAGCTTTTATGACAGCCACTGTGTCAGTTAATGGCAAGGTTAGACTTAACATCTGACCCTTCAGACGCCACTCTGGTTTTTCACTCATGTTGGGAACTGCTACCTTTAGTTGTACTGGACCCTGAAAGGAATAAAACAAGGGTTTCAAAATTAAGTGTAGAAATAATTTCTACCAATAATCTAATAAATCAATTACATGAAAAAAATTTTTGTTTCAAACTTAAGATGACAACATGATCAAATCATTGACAGATGACGATACATATTCCTTTCAAATCTATAGAACTAAACCTTAAATGACTTTACAATAACGTATATGCAATCCCTCTTCTTAAAATACATTCGTTAAATATCTTTAAACTAATATTAGGTTAATTGCTTTCAGTACTTTAATTACTCTGATTACAAACCTTGTATTTAGAAAGGAAGGCACTCTCTGGCATGAGAGACTCCTCAGTGCGCATCTTCTTACTTGGTGGTTCATCTTCACCACCCACTTCGGAGGGGTGCTTTGCCCCACCCTGGAATAATTCTCATATTCAACACAATCTCAATACCTTTACAAGGAAATCAATATTTTGTTTTTTGCAAACTTAAAAATAAACGTTCAATGTCTGTTTCAATTAGAACTGCTTACTACATCAGTATTTAGAAAATGAATGACTTGTAGATCAGAAAAGAGGTAACACTTACCGCTGTGGCTTGCTGGGGAGGAGCCTGAATCTGGGGTGCTGTAGGAGGCATAAAGCCAGACATTGGTGGAGCAGGCGTAGCTACTGGGAACGGAGGTCGTGCTTGAACTGAAAAGCAATAAATTATTATTTTAATGGGCACAACCAAACATTAGCTAAAAGAGCAAAACATATTTGCAAAGTGAACACTAAAATAAAAAAAAGCAATCCTTTACAAAATTTCAATTGGACAAATTTTGAAATTATCTTTTCTGAAATAACTATACATGACAATAATAAAAAAATTCTGACACTCATATATGATTAGGTTCACCTATTGGGCTTTCTCATTAAATTAATGAAATACTTCTTAAACGTATATGTGAAGGTAACAAGAAGTTAAAGATGGGAAGACTTTGCCATTCTCAGGAAATTCAATTTTTTTTAAAGAGGGCATTTATGTCAAACAATTAGGTCATTATGCTCTTCGCCACGTTGTTGTTTTTGTTTTCTCTCTAGCTTATGCTGATAAAAATTTGTTTAAAGTTTTGGGGAAATAATCGTACTTTGATTTATCTACATACAGATATTATAGGATTCTGTAAAAACTTTATACAACATTACTGAATGTCTTAATTTCACATAATTCTCTAAATAAAGAAATAAAAATTTTAAAAATTACATGATTTTTATTTTTTAAATTAAATATTTATAACATTCAAATATTCAAAAGTTTCAACGAAACAGGAATTTTTACCATGTTGTTGAGAGCACTTAATTGTATTAATACAAAATCAGTTGAAACATTTGGAATTAATTGAAAATTCACTGTGAGCTTCATGACAAGCAAGCATCAACATGGGAATGAATTTCTTTCAACTACATAGGGCCTCCAGTTAAGTCCGGCTGTCACAATTGAAGATAAATGCTCAATGTGAGGAGATGTCAAACGTTTCCAGCTTGGATCCGAAGCCCTGGGCGATGATCCGATGAAGCTGGCCGTCATGCAGTCAGTCTCGGCGAGTCTTCTTGAACATCGAGGCGAACTCATAGGCAACCCGCATAACGCATCTGCATTGCATAAGGTATTCAGGAAACGACGAAAAACACGAGGGCAAACTAGTTGCCTCTTGTGCCGGTGATTTCGGGCACGATGAAACTGCATTAAAATGATGTCATTTGTTTAAGCTTTATATCCTTCGGATTTGAATTTATTCCCAATATTGGAAGATCGTCGTCGTCATGAACTGTTGGTGTTTAGGCTTAACAGCCTGTTCAATTATTTATGCAGTATTTCTGGTAGTTAGTCTTCCAAGGTGTTCCTGCTGTTGTCACTTCTTTCGTGGTCTTTCAACGTCTGTTCCCTGCTGGTTTATATTTCCATATAACTTTTGGCCATCTGTTTTTCATTCTTTTAGATTGAATTGCCGTTTTCTTTGAGTGCTTTAAATTTCCTCTACTAAGTCTTTGGCTTTTAGATTCTTTCTAACGTCTTTGCTTCTCAGTCGGACTCTTCTTGTAACTCCTGCAAGGTGTCTCAGAAATATCATATGTGCTGTTCGTATTTTTGTTTGTAACTCTCTTTCATTATCCATGTCTCGGAGCTGTACATAGCTATACTTTTGGCCATTATATTATGAATTTTTAGTTTTGGTAAGCACCCATGTATCTGCCAAAGTTTAATTAATCCACAGATTCTATTGCATTTATACAATTTATTTTCTAAATCCTCTTGGATGTGGTTAAATACACTTATTATATTTTCAAGATATGAAAATTTGTTGACTTGTTCCACTATTTCTCCATTTATTATAATTTTAGCTCTCTCCTGTTCTTTGCCTTGCAGTGCCATAAATTTTGTTTTTTGAACTTATATGTTCATAGAATATTTCTGAGACTCTTTTGTCAGTTCAAAAACTCCTCTTTTTAGATTATCTTCAGAATCTGTTATGATTGTTTGTCAGCATATAAAATTGTATCTATCTTTTTCTTTTTCTTGATTTGGATACCCTGTTTAACTTTCTTCTTCCAGTTTCTCACTAGGTGGTTGATAAGAGAGTAAGTGGCAGACCACATCCCTGTCTTTGGCCACTGCTGGTTTTATCGTTGCAGACATTTTCCATCTCTTACCATTATTATAATATATAAAAAACACTACATTTGTGATTACCTCGTAGTAATGTGAATAACATTATCAGCCTTACAAGCAATTATAATATTTGGTGTGCAACTCAAATATGCATTACTTGTTCTAGTTTCATATTTCACATTGCCACATATTGACAACAAACATTTCTAATATAATACAAAAGACAATGTTATTAGAACTGTATGCGACAGTCATATTCTTGTCGATTGCTCTTTCAATTTTTGAGCTGTGGTTCGAATTGCGCATTCTAATTGGGGGTCCCCACCCCTAGAATTTTCCTCATCCTCACCCTTCAAATTTCTCCGCATTTGCACTTGTGTGGCTCGCGCGCAGCTCTCTAAGTCGAACAAAGGGCAAAATGCTGTGCAGGCCTGCACTACCGATTGTGATTTTCCGCTTTATCTTCTTTCATATAATGTTCTGTTGCTTTCATCTTTCGAAGAATTTTGAAGCATCTTGAGTTTAGCAGGTGAAGTATGTGTTTGTACAGTACATCAGTTCTCTACATACCAAAAATATCAAAAAAGTTGCTGTTCTCTAATACATGTGAATAGCAAATTTTTAATGATGGCAGCCTCTTCCTTGAAGCCTTGCTGGCACATGTCAGCTGTGTTGAACACAGTGATGCATCGTGTATTGTATAGTATGAATGGAATAAAACATTTCGATAATTGCCATTTACAGTCAAAATCATAAGTATTTCATTTTTTTTACTTTTCCCAAGTTTTTGAGTATCTAATGACACCAGAAACACCTTTCTCATGGTAGGAGGCAGCAAATTGTCTTTTCTGCACACATTGGAAATTAGTAATAAATAGATGGATCATACACCTAACATTTGGACCAGGAGTTGTTATGAGAAAATATTCTTAGTACAAGCATTACCATTTGGTAAGTTCAACACAAAACATCTCCAGTTCATTTGTTTTTTTTATTTTTTCATTGGAATTATTAGTATTTTTCTAATAATAAAATAATTAAAAGACCAAAATTTTAGTGACCCTGAGAGTAGGGAATTAATAAAGAGTTTTACTCCTTGGATTTCACGCAGAGATGATATTACTAAGAATAAATAACACTAATGGATTATTAACCTTCATTAGATTAAATAAGCAGTTTTTATCTGGGATAGAGACAGATGTGTTGCTACACAAATTTTTGAGTTGTTAATGAAACTGAATTTACTCCTGCCTCTTAACACTTTCGATCTTGAGGACATATCTGATAAGCCATCTTCATTTTATTGCTGTGCCTTTTCAACCTATTCGACGCAGGGTTCTTCTACATTTATCGTCTTCAACAGGCTATAAATGTCCCTTGAACATTCGTAGGCACCTAGAATACACTTTTTAACAACAATTAGATGGTAGCAGGACAAATGCCAACGTGTGCTTCTATTTTTTGCAAGTATTTGCAATTTTTACAGGAAGCAATTAGATATTCATACTTGCAGGCACTGTCGATTTTTTTCAGAATGTCTTTTATTGCAAGTAGTGTTTATGCTATTAGTGACAGATATAGATTAGATAGATTATACATATATAGATTTTAGAAGACATAGATGTAAAATTCACAGTGACTCTCAATATTAGAAATTCAAGAGTGTTTGAACAACGGATCAGAACTGGATTCTTCTGTTGAGAACAATGATTTTATTCCTGGGCTGTTGTCTAGTGTGAGCAAAAAAGTTATATCTAGGAGTAATAATGACGCGAATGAATCTATTGGTCAGTCTTTCAAATTCAAGAGTTTTTATTTCTCTTAGAATGCTTTGAAATTGATAAATAATCTGAATTACAAGTGTTTGAGAAAATCAGTGAAATAAAATTTCCTGTATACTAAGACTCAATTGAACTAAACTATTTTTCATCATATTTCACTACACTATATGCCAAAAAATAAAGGCATAAGTAAATAGATAAGCAAATGGAAATATATCTAAACTTCAACAAAATACAGTTATAATGCGCCGGTATTATTATCACATGAAGTTTACCGAGTCCCCCCCCCCCGCACATTTATACCACAAGCTATATTATATTATATTATATCATATCACATCACTATTATATATTATAGGAATATGATATGTTTTTTAATGAAGACCTCTCTTGAACACGTTATTTTAAATGCAAAATTGAAACTGACAAATTTTGATATTTATAGGCATGATAGAAATCCATTAAATAGTAATTGTAAAAAAGGTGGTGGAATCTTGATATGTGTAAATAAGAAGTATCAAAGTGTTCAGTTTAAAATTACAAATAACGTTGAACATCTATTCGCGCGTGGTGCTCTTTATTTGCCTCCTACTATGTCTGAGGAAGTAATGGTTTCCCATAATCTTGCACTAGAAACTTTAGATATGAATTATTCTAATGTTAATTGGATAATGTTTGGTGTCTATAATCTTCCAAATGTTTCCTGGAATTTAGTGATTATAGCAGTTATTCATCTTTTAATACTTCAATGACTCTGCATGTTAAATATATATCCAAAATCCTTTCTAAAACTATTAACTTAATCGTTTGCCATGTAATAATTCTCCAAATCCGTTTGGCATATACTTAGATTTAATTTTCTCAAATGTAGTAAACATAGATGGCTCATATGCGTATTACTCAATTGTAATAGAAGATATCTATCATCCTGCGCTTTCTGTTATTACCCCACATATAAGTGATGTAACGACTATGACGAGTGGGAATATGATTTTTGAATCAGGAAATTACAAAGAACTTACAACATCTCTCTGAACATTCATATCTTATATTCCAGTTTACGACATGCCATTGAATGAATGTATTAGTCGCTTTTACTATATTTTATATTCCTGTGTCGAATCTTACCCAAACGAGACTAGTCAAGTCCATGTGGATAGCAGTGAACTTAAAACATCAATCATTTTTAAATTAAAGGCTCTTAAAGAATAGAAAGAAAAAAAAAAGAGAAAAAGGAAAAGGGGGAAAAATTCTTTGATATTCTGCTTATCGATCATTACCTTATCTTGTTAGAGAGACAAGAGTTACGAGCCCTTAGTATCTCTCAAGTTTATATTATGTTACTTTTCATTATTTTGTATTTGAACAATAGTCCATATAGTCAATAAATAAATAAATTTAAAAAAATATTGTTGCTTTCAAAAATTGAAAAAAATTATAACCATTCTCACAACCTTCTTATAAAGAAATGTTCTTAAGAACAGACTTAAAGAGAAAAGAGAATTCTACCAGATTTTATCCATTTCAAACTGATGTGTATGATAGATTTTGTTTAACATTTTGAATAATAGCTATATTGTCCAGAACACGGGAGTTGACCACGTGGCATATCCCTCAGGATCGAATGGGGTCCATCTCTCTAAAAGAAAAGGCTCTCATTTGCCAAGAGCAGCACTCACCGTAGGTCTCGCCCATGAGCGGCGGCTGGCGCATGGGCATCATCATCATGGCGGGCGGCTGCGGGGGCAGGATGCCCGGCGGCGGCGGGATGGGCGCCATGGGTGGCAGCGCCATGGGCGCCGGCGGGGGCGGCGGCGGCGCCGGCTGCACGGGCGGCGGCGGCTGCACCGGCACCGGCGGCGGAGGCGCCGGATTCACCTGCGCAGCACACGGACTCGCGCGCGCTCTTGGCGGGGCCTTCGCCCAGGGCAGGCGCTAGGTGATTTTGCGCCTCAGGCAATAAGGCATGTTTGCCCCCCCACCCCCACCCCCCTCCTCTGGTAATAAATACTTAATTTGGAGAATAATGAGCACACATACTTATTATTTTTAAGGTGATATTCTGAACAATAATAACGATAAACTGAACACAACTAAGATTGTTTTGGAACGGGGGAGAGCGGGGGAGATGTAGATGTGGTGTCCACCAGTCTTGATATTTTCATTTAAAGAATTTTTCATTTGAACTGAATTTTGAAGTAATTTTTATTTGGAGATTTATAGTTAATTATAACAACTGAGATTTCAACTGAGATTTTGTATAACTTCTTACTATAGAAAAATTAATAAAAACCATTCTTGCAGATGTCAGTCCCTCTGAAAATTTTGCATGTTGAATTAGCATTACAATTAGCATGTGATCGATTGTACACTGTGCACTTATACATCTCCGTTTGGCGGTCACGTTGGAGACAGTGAAAAGTTTACAATTTTGGAGAATTTTTGCTTACAAAATTATTTATTATATAACTTTATTTTACACCGGTGTAATGATATGTGTACAACAGCTTGTTGCTACCACCATTAATAAATTAAAAAATAATAAAATATTAGTCTTCTTTCTCAGTGGTTATATGTAGAATGTGTATGTAATTCAAACAAAACAATTTTGTTTTCATTTCCATGTTGTGCAGAATGCAATTTGCTTTGGCCAGGCGTCAACCCGCGAAACTGCACAGCCTTGTAATTCCTGTCAGGCACATTGAGTAACAAAATTTCTGCAATGATTTATATTCTTTTTTCACGTTGAGTTTCGCTGTCAAACAATGTCATTTGTTTGGGATTTTCTCATTCCCGGCCCATTAAAAAATATTGGTCTGTATCACCCGACACATTAGTGGTTGATGCTGAGAATATGATCACAAATACAATTATGTAGTTAGTAGATATGCGTGATAGTTTTCTGGCCTTTGCACTTATTCAACATTAGGTTTTTTGTGACATGGAATGGCAATATAAAAATATATATCCTAGCCAACTAGGCTTAATCTGTTAATACAAGATGACCCCTATTTGTTTAATGAGATATTTAGAATCTCTTTTATATTTGGAAAAATATGGTATTTGAAACTGATGAACTTTGGAACTGACTGAAATCTAGTGTTTAATAAATTTCGTAAAACTAGTTTCAAGAAATGTAAGCAGATTTAAAATTATATTTACAAATAAGATGCAACTTGTATGTATGTAATACAGTATGTATTACATTCAGATTGTTGATAGTCCAAAATGTGAATTACTCTCTTACCACATCCCTTGACAACCTCAAAAAGCTACGCCACTAAGAGAATGTTCCCCCTTATAGAGTATACGCAATTAACACTGACATTTACTTCTGACACAAAACAAAGGAGTAGTATTTACAACTCGCTGTTCACTTTCCTCGTTTATAAAACCTAAAATAAAAACCTTCTACACAAAATTTCAGCTTCAACTAGCTGCTCAAGCTAACCTTTAAGCTCTAATATAAAACATAGTGTAAAGGGAGGGCATGTTTTCAATAATATTGAATATTCCACTGTCTTTAAAAACAATTGGAAAAATTATTTTTCTTTAAATAAATACATTTTATTAATTTATTAATGGTGGCAGCAACAAGCTGTTGTACACATATCATTACATCGGTAATAAATAAGTAATAAAAAAAATGTAAAAACATATGCACTGGGACAGAATATTCGGCGTTATGCTGTGATTTCCTGAGGGGTGGGGGGCACTCACCTTGGGCTGCGGGGGTTTAGAGGCAGCAACACCCGCGGCGAGCGCGGCCTTGGTGCCAGGCGGTGGCGGAGCGGCCGCCATGACGCTGGCAGCGGCAGCTGCGGCTGCAGCAACAACACCCCCTCGTCCGCCCACGGGCTTTGGCCCAATCTTCTCCTTCTCCTCGTCGGGCAACAACCCCTTCACCTTGTGGATCTGATGGATTTGCTCCTCCAGAGTGATGTTGGCACGGGCAGCACGTGTTGCTGCTTCCACACTTGATGTATGGCCATCCCAGGTAACCTGCAACCGAATGGAAATGTACACTTCAGCTCAACACATAGGTCGGACATGTGGTGGTTTGGAGGGGATCAGAGAGATAAGCGTGCCTTAGAAGAAGCATGTTTTTTATAATACTGTAACATAATGTTCCTTATCTTCCATATTTTTCAAAGCCTAGGAGAAGTTCTGGTAGCATGACATCCAACTACATGAAACAAAATAACTGATTCTTGTTTTGCCCCAACTTCACTACATTTGATTAATTAGTACATACCAACTAAAAATGTTAATGAGGATGAAATTATACCCGATGATTAATTAAATGATAAAAAAGTGAGCTTTTAAGAAAATTGTTTTCCCTTACACATGGTCATGTTAATATTCTTTTGTAAACATAGATACTGTAGCATGTAAGAGAAACCCTTCTCACATTAAAAGCTTTGTGCTTGTCTTCAGTCACTTGCTAGTGCTTGCAGTATGGGCCCATTATGTTGTGACTTGGCAAACATCTGAATAGTGTTATTGTAGAAGTAGTGTCATGCAGCAAAATGGGCAATGTAACTTTTTTGTAAAGTATTAATTTTGCAAAACTCGATGCACAAGAAAAACAAAATAAAATGAATGCAAAGCTCTTTAGCACTACTTAAATTGCCACTGAAGTACTTAAGTGGACATAAGGAAATTCGTAACACACTTAAATAGAATATTTATGCTTATTTCTTAATTTATTTGAAAATATTATGCTAAGAACTAATAAAGGGACACATGTTGAACAGGTGCCAAATTCCTAGCCTGCCACTTAACGTGAAATATTGCTTGCATTCATGAAACTAGCACACACTTTCTCAGAGCAGCAAACCCATTTCATTCCATCTAGCCTATCAAAAATAAGGCCACAACAATGATGTGCAATTCGAGTTAAATATATACTTTTGGCAGCCATTCAATGAAGAAAATTGCTTGAAATAACTGTGACACACCTGAGAAGTTTCATTCAAATGTTCCCATATGAAGTTAAACAAGATATAAATAAAAAAGATACATCCTATAAATGTTGAGAACTCTAACCAGAGTGTGACTCAATTTCAATAGGACTCAAAGTAATATGCAACATGAATACAAATAATATCTGACCTTTGGAGGGCTATTTACATTGTGTCCTTAGAGTTGTTATAAAATTTTATTTATGCAAAGATATTTTTAAAAAATGTAACAGATGAAAATATGCAAATACCTAAACTTATTAAATGTAACAATAATGATATTAAAAATAATTTTGAAAATAGTGTTGAACCAAGTACAATGCATGACTGGAGGTGTTGTAAATTAGAACCAGAGGAAAGTTAAAAATCATTTGAAACAAGTCTATAAAATGAAGTTTAAAAAGACTGCCTGTAAATAAAATCTGGTGCAGAAAATAAAGTGAACTCTTAACTCATTGGGTACACATGCCACTACTGCTTTCAAAATATCTCAGTACAAAGTATTTACACTACGCAACATTTAACTTTTTTTAAAAAAGGTTTGCGGCTGAATGAAAAGGAAATACTTATACCAACATGGACAATTTCAACCATTTGATCGATACAATTTAACTATCAAGAAGCATAAATGCAGATACTATCCAGAAAAGGCAGAATTCTCACCTTCTCTTCTTTACGCTTGTCTTCTTCACCAATCTTCTTACCAATGGCTGTTTCTTCATCTCCTACACCAAAGATATCGGTACGTCTCTCAGCAAGTTGTTTCAAGCTGGCTTCAATTGCAGAACCTGTCAAGCAAAGAATTCATTCACAATTATAACTTCACATTCCAAACATAAACATAGAAATATTCTACTATAAGGTTCTTATTTCATATAGTACTAACATATACTATGCGAAATGCATAAGTTTTCCATGTTGACTCAAAATTATTATTTTTGAAACTTTTTTTGAAGGGGTTGAAAGATTTCTACCCCTTATCAAAACATCCTAGGGTAGGTTAAATACATGGTTCTTACCCGGTGCATACACAGACTCTTGATTCATCTTCTCCTGAATTTGCCTGTCTCGTTGTTCCACCCAACGTGGGTCCAGCAATCCAATGCGCATATGTTCTTGCACTTTACTGGCTGGAATCTTTTCACCAGTAATGGGAGAGATGAGGTATTCATCAGGTGCTGGAGGTCTTGCTGATTTGACAGCTGCAAACAGAAAAAACATGTTTTTCAAAAAACAACTTCATTAAAAATAATTTTACTATGAATTTCTGTCTCCTTGTTGAAAAGCAAATAGTGAAATCTGCAATGGTAAAAATCGCAAGAAACCACGCCAATACTATACCTTGTTTGGGATCATAGTTCTTCTTGACAAGCACTTTATCTGGAGCAGGAGGAAGAGGAGGAGGTTGCTGCAAGTGCTCTTTGGAGGCAAACTTCTTGCTGCCTGTGCTGAGGGTTGGTGTAGAAGCAGAACTTGCATCTTCTTCATCACTCGATTCTTCCTCCATGTCTTGAACCTTTGCAACAAACAATGCCAGGAAATTATAGGCTAGGTTTTGACCATTTCATTCTTCTGGTAAACTTCCTTTCTTAGAGTTAAATGGCTTAACTATATACATTTCTTGTAAGTGTGTTAATAATACTGATGAATGGGACGTTTGTATAGAGATTTCACTGCTTATTCATTTAGGTTGTAACAATTTTGGTACTATTTCAATAACACATAAAACCATATGCATCGCTGGAGCATAAAATTAAAGGTGAAGAGAAGGATGTGATTTAAATGCCAAGATTTCAAGATATTTTAGTTTAAGCAACAATTTTGAATGGATGTATTCACAGTAAAAGGTGAAGGCAGCATATTCAAAAACAGCCAATTAAATTGCAGCACTTCATTAATTCAATAGTACACTCTGATAGAATGGGAAAACATTGAAAAATTGCCTAATTAGTATTGACGTTAAAAAATGCTAAATTACTCTTAACTATATTGCGCAAAACCCATTTAATAATGATGCACCACAGATTCATGAAACGATCAAATGTGTGCCAACTCTCTAGGTTCACACTGTTTCTTAAGAATGTCTTCAGCTCTTGAAGAGATAAAGAGCTGTTAATTTTGACAGCGCGAATGTACATCTGATGGGTACTGATGATTGTACATTTACTGATGGGTATATTTAGTTAAGACATCATTTGCTATATAACATTAATAAGTTATAAGCTGCATAAGTATAATTCGGCGCAAAAGTCATGGCAATCATATTTTGTTATGTCCGCAAAAAATGGTAATATTTAGATGGAAGAAAGGAATGGAAGTTGCTGAGAGGTGTATGAATAATACTCAATTACACGTCCCATGTGCAAGATACGAAGAAAGTAACAATCCAGAAATGTCATCACTGTGCTATACTTTATTTAGGATTAAAAAAAAAAGAGCAATAATTGTTTTAAGAACAATAAATTCTCAAAGTAGTACCCTAGAGGGTCTATGATTTGGGAAGGGTCAGATACCATTCATCTCAACATCTGTTGAGTTTGATACCTCATGCTTCACAGCATTGGTGATGTCCTACACACTTAAGTCAAAATTGCAAGGAGGTTGATCTGTTGAGTTTGGTGGGAGTTACTATTGTAACGTATTAGCCAGCGTGCCTCATGGCATCTATTTGGGGATGCTTGGGAGAGGATTAGCCTAGCCACAGGAAGTAGGATTTTTCCGTAAAGGGAAGAACGTGGAAACGGGAGACACAAGGCTTTGGGAGTATCCAGCCTATAGAAACTTTTCACTGTTATAACAAGCGAGGGGGTGGCGTGACGTAGTAGGTCACGTGGGCCTCGCCTATATAACAGAGTATACAGAGCCAGTGGGTGGGTTCTGGAGACAGCGGGAGAACCTCGTGCGTGTGCACAAAACTTAGCGCCACGACGGTACATATGCAAGCCAGGCTCGCGAGGCTGGAGTCACTAGTTGATGAAGCCTGCGGACTTTAGGTCCTTGGGTGACTGCGGTCACGGGGGAGTGATGCTGTGTGTGTACTCCGAGGTGAAGAGTGGTTGAGTGCCACGATTCACGCCGATTCTCAATCGGATAAGATCGCTCCTGCGATCGAGGCAAACCAGCTGTTGGTGTGCCAGAACGGACTTTGTGTCCCAGTGTGACATCCGGTCACGGAAGCTAGGCTTTGTGCGCGCTTCAAAAGTAGGAGTGGCGAATGCCACAATCAAAACCATCTTCAATCGGGTTAGGATTGCTCCCGCGATCAGGGGATAGTAGGTCTATCAGAGCTAGGGTATAAGTAGATTATTAAGTGTATATTTTTGTTTTGTTTTCTTGTTAATAAATATATTTGTTATATGAGAGCTCTGTGTCTGTGGTCGCTGTGAGTATCCATGACGTCACACTATACTTCCCATTCCCAATGTTTGAATTGCTTTCCTACAGCCTCTGCTGCACAATATCTGAAGTTTTTGTGTCATTATTGAGATCTTTACTTAACTGCTGTCAGGGTTATGCCATGTGTCATAGCATGCTTTACAATGTTATAAGTCCCTGCTTCCTTTGCTTGCAGAAATGCTGCTGTCCATCCCACAATAGTTCACTAACGTTGAAAATCATTCTTCACGACTTTTACTAGACCTCTACACCATTCTCTCCCATATCTATCCCGGAGAAAGGCAATTTTCACATGTGCAAAGCATGTGATATAATCATTCTGTACAACTTTTCACATACTACTGAATTACCTTTGCCCAGTGCACTGTAATTGCAGAACATAATGCCATCTACAAAAGTGTATGTACTATTATTCCTGCTTTCTGTGATATACTAATCATTTTATTGAACCACCATTCTAAAGGAAAAAATATATGACATGACTATATGTTTTAAATTGCCTTGAAATTAGAATAAAGCTATGAATTAACTAGAAACTCCTTAAGGGAGATGTATTCCCCTCAGTCAGTGATGTCAATGATTAAAACAGCAAAGATTACTGTGGAAATGCAACCCAGAGTCAAACGTTTACTGACCATTTCACGATTTTTAGAGAACTCCAAATTTACTCATAGATCCCCCCCATGGATTAATAAATCCTCATCTTGAATCAAACTTAATTTTTTTTTTTAGGAATAAGAAGTAGCTTTTAGATGGAATAAAGACAGTTGTCTGGTGCAAAATTATTCTGTGAATTAATGCCAATGATTATTATTGAATGAATTAAGATTAATTACTTTCAATTTTCACTATCAATCCTTTGCGTACAGCAATTGTGTATTGGTAGAATTTCATTTTTGGTAAACAATATTTACAACAGATAACTATTCCATGTTCTGACAGCCAAGCTAACATTTTTCATTGATTGACTTTTTCACATTGCAGTGTGCACCGTTTCCAGATTCTCAGGATATAATAAACACTTTTCATACATTCTGCACACCTCAATAAAGATGAAAAGTGTCTACAACAAATGATACTCATCCTGTATTTATGCAACCATGATCTTTTTTAACACAACATGAAAAATTCTCAAATAAAATATAAAAAATCTAAAACGGAAGGGGAGAAAGTAGCAAAAGAAGAAATACAGGAGAAAAAATAAACAGCTAGTACAAAATCTTGTGTGACTAATAAACACATACACTGAGATTTCCTAACATTTTCCAACTTTTACCTTGGATTTCACAACTAAAAAAATGTTTTTCTCTTATCGTCCCCTACAATTATGTTGCATGATACAGAAAGATCTATGAAAATGTCAATTCTATACTTGACTGTGCCCACTAAAGGCTGAGGTTTTATTTATTTTCTCATTTTCAGATTATGACCAATTCAGCTTGATACCAATAAGGCAAAAATCACAATATGTTATGTTCAAAAAATTACAAAACCTCAATAATCTGACAACTATACAAAAGCAAATAAAATTCTAAAATTAAAACAAAAATTAAAAACACACACTCAATACTTTGACAATCTAACATGCTCGTAAATACATGAGGAATACAATGTGAATTTCAAATTGTAATAGAACCAACCACACACAAAAGTACAATATGAAGCAAATTTTAATTTTTATCTCCGAGGCGAAACAAATTTTTATTTTTTCTATATTTTATATCACAACAAAGAGTAGATCTTGTGATTGGAAATTGTGATATGTTTATTAATATTTCAATATTTTAACCAATTTGAACTATTATCCAAACTGTAACAGTGAGACAACGTACAGAGATATTTCTTTCCATTCTCGCAAACAGTCAAGCAGTTGTGATTTCCTACCTGAGTATTATCTCTTGCTTCCTTAGCACTTTGATCCTCATCTGTGGCCTGGTCATGTGACAGTCCTTCATGCTCTCCTGGAGGATGAGGGTGGGCAGGTGGAGCTGGATGAGCACGCTGCGCTGGAGGACGGCGTTCACGCTCACGAGGAGCCTCACGCTCCCCATCACCTTCGTCACGCTCTCCCCTGCCCCTACCTTCACCCTCCTCTTCGCTATCTACTTGCATTTCTACATCTTCACCATCTTCCAACCTTTCCTGTAAATCATAATAACAATCTTTACAACTTATATTAACACATCATTCTTAGTAATAGCTACAAAAAATATTACTGTTTTAAAGAAAGTAAAATTTAAAATACATCTAGACACCAGTATTTCCAGTACATTTACAATATCCCAATAAAAATAAAATACAGTAAAATACAACAAACAATAAAAACAAGGCAGTAATAAATTATACTTGCAAGTACACAAAAGTATCAAACACAATCATTTGCACAAGCAGAAAACAAAATTTAAAAGTCGGTAACTACCTGCATCAGAACTCTAGCACCAACTTCATCTGGAGTTGTGGGAGGTGGAAAATTGCCATGTTCGAAAGGTTGATAATCAACAGTTTCTACCACTACAAAGTCATGCCAATCAATCTGAGCATATGCCACTGAAACACATTGTACAGAAAAAATAGAGGTTATTTATTAATTGCAACTTTTACATCAATAATACTTGATAAACTTTCTCTTCTACTAAGGAGAAGGAAAGCAATTAAAATTTGATATGGTAATAAACAATGTCTTCTTGCTGTTAAATTCATTAATCAATCTAGTTTTCTGCTCCTTTTCCCTCATCTTTTGAGAAAATACGGAGGTGAGCCCTTGTTTTGCTTCTGGACAAAAACCTAACTTCACTACCTGCGTACATTTTCTAGAGCTCAGGGGGGGATGTAAGTTCTCACGGCAGAAAGTCAATTCCATCATGTAGGGGACTATAAGGAATAATAGCCAAAAGCTCTAGCTGATTTTTCTTTAAAGACTGTTTTTTACACAGGAGGTAATATTTTTTTACCAATTCTTGACAAAGAAGCTTGAGAAAGTTCACTTTCTCATGATGTGAGAACTAATTATGGTTTTTACTGGCTGACTGATTTTGGTTTGGACTAGCTAGGCTGGGATGTTAATGTATGAAAGTTGTCAAAACATTGTGGATATTTAATAAATGTGAATGTGAAAATTTCATTGCGTTTTGTACATAAACCAACTGGAAAAGAGTACAATAAGAGTATTAAGAAATAATACATACAGTTGGCCAAGAACAAAAACTTTAATTATGCAAATTGTTGTATTTTAAATTAAATACATACTAATTCTATATTTATATTTTAAACATGATTGAGAGTGTGGATTAATAGTCTATGTACATATACAGATTAATGCCAAGGGAAGATGACTGGTTTATTCAATTTAAACCAACATTTTCAGCTCAAAACCCTGTAAATGTAATACTGCTGAACTGAGAATTATCCTCCTTACCCAGGGGCAATTCAGATTAAATACAAAAATGTAGAATTTTGTAGATTATTAAGACACCAACAGATGTAAATGTGAACTGCAAAGCATGTTACCACCCTGCATAATCCAGGAAGGTGGCCAAGGCTATTAAAACAGTTTACATGTCCTTGCTGGGGACCTGTGTTTCTTAGGTCATGACCTACAAAGAAAGACCTTTTTGAACCTTCCTATTTCATATTTGGATGCTTAGCACTTTTAGGTAACCCACTACCTTGGGTGTTCAGATATCAGCAGTATTGCAATCTATGTCAAATTATACAAACTGTACGGTATTCTGTGCAATTTAATAGATCTAAGCCTTATTGTTTGTTAATAAACACTTTGCAACATTAACATTTTCCTGTGCGTAACATCACGCTCATATAATGTAATTTGTAATGTGCAAGACTATTGAAATTGTGTTACAATATTTTTGCTTTTAAAACAAGTTTGTTATGTTAATGTTTTTATGATTAAATGGCTTATTAAAGAAACATTAACATTTCCTATATTTTACTGATTCTTTGTATTCATGGGGCCTTCCATAAATTAGGTAATGCAAATTTGGAACATTTTGAATACCCTCCTCTCCCCCTGTAATTGGGCTTGACCCCCTTAAATAATTATGTAAAAATTGCAACACCCCGCCTCCAAGTAGCACACATGCAGATAGTGGAGAATGCATGGGCGAGAATCTACTGTGTCAATTTAATTGTATTCTAAAATATACTACAGATCGAGATCGAGAGAGAGAGAGAGAGATCGAGAGAGAGAGAGAGAGAGAGAGAGAGAGAGAGAGAGAGAGAGAGAGAGATCGAGAGAGAGAGAGAGATCGAGAGAGAGAGAGAGATCGAGAGAGAGAGAGATCGAGAGAGAGAGAGATCGAGAGAGAGAGAGATCAAGAGAGAGAGAGATCGAGAGATCGAGAGAGAGAGAGAGAGATCGAGAGAGATCGAGAGAGAGAGAGAAAACACCACCCACACTAAAATAACACCCCCAACGTCTATGCTCCCATGTAACACAGCGTAACGCTTTCTCAAACCCTCTCCCAATGTCCTTGGCATCATGTAATACATGGATGAATCTGAATTACTTTTAAATATTTAAGGAAGAATAAAAGCATCTATGTCACATTCAGGGCGTGCCTACCATGTGGACTGTTAACCCATTAGTTCCCACACACATCAATAATTATCAAATTAGGTTTTTTGTACTTTTCATTTCAATTTACTATTAGAAAATATTTAAGTTAATTTTAAAATTTTTATTTTTATCCGAAATATGAAAAAATTAATGTTGCGTTTGCGCAACTTTGGGAACACACAAGAAGTGTTAAAATTAAGACTCGTTCTCATTCCATCTTAGTTTAATGGACAAAATCTTCGGCATCCTTCAGTACTTCGTTCCATGTATCTCTTTCCCGTGCCTTCCTCCTCCAATTTTTCATTCCTATGCGTTTCAGGTCACCTCAACACCATCACACCATCTTAGGGTTAGTCTTCTGACTCTGCGGACACCAACAGGATGCGTACAAGTCAATCTTTCCATGATTGATTTTGGCAAGCCATAGATATGGCCAGCTCACCTTAGTCTAGCTAGTTTGATTTCTTTAATAATATTGTTGCTATTGCACAACTCATCTCTCTCTCTTGTGTTGGATTCTCCATTTGCTGCTGTCCTGCACTGGCCCAAAGATTCTTCTCTCAAATATACGAAGTAAATTTATATCATTCATTATTACTTAATGCTAGACATTCAGTTCCATACATCACTATAGGTTTTAGCAAAGTCTTGTATACTTTTAGCTTATATTTATGTCAAAGGGACCGCAAGCCAAAAAGTTATTTTAGTCCAAATTGGCTTCTGTTTGCCATACATTTTCTTGCCTTAATTTCATCTCTCGAAGAGTTATCATGCGTCAGAAGTGTTCCTAGATATTTAAAGGAGTTTGGCCTTTCAAAGGAATATTCCTTTATTTTGATTGATTTCATGTTAATTTTCTTCTTGGTTACTGCCATATATTTGGTGTTTCTATTGACATGTAGTCCAATCTCTTTTGCCGCATCAATCAAGCTTGAGGCCGCTTCCCATAATGCTGTTGTAATTCTCCCCACGATCACTATGTCATCCGTGTAGACCAAGAGTTGTTCCAATTTCCTCATTGTCATACCTGTAACTATGATACCAGAAACACGTATTGGTTTTTCTAAGCTACGTTAAAGAGTAAGCATTGACAATGCATCCCCATATCTCAATACCTGTGCGCTGTCAAAAAGATTGGATATCCATGTAGCTACTTTCACTCTGCACTGTACTTGTCATATAATTGCCTATACCAGACTGGTAAGTTTCTTTGGGTAGCCAGACTCTTCCATGGCCTGAATTAGTTTATATATTAGTATTAGCGCCTATTAAGTGGCTACTTATCAGTCTGGTACAGGCAATTATATGACAAGTACAGTGCAGAGTGAAAGTAGCTACATGGATATCCTATTAATATAGTATCATATGATGTTTTGAAATCAATAAATAGATAAAAATTGCTCAAACTATATTGTCTCACCATATAAATATGATCCATTATTGATTTCTTCTCCCTGAAACCACATTGGTAATTTCCGATAAGTGGTTCAGTGAACGGTGTCAGGCGTTCATACAAAATATAGGAGAAGATCTTTGTATTCAAACAAAATATTGGAGAAGAACAACAAAATTATTCCTCTAGAATTCTCCAGTTTTAATGTATTCCCTTTTTTAAATATTGGGCGTATATATGCTTCTTCCCATTGTTTTGGCTGGTTTTCTTGTTCCCATATTTTACATATGATGTAGTGTAATTTATTCTGTAGACTAGGTTCCCTTTCAAAGATTTTCGTCATTACTGCAACTAAACCATCCACCCCCAGTGGTTTGTAATTATTCAATTTTCTGATAGCTTTTAATAGTTCAATCACATCTGGATGTCCATCAGTTGCAGTGTTCTCACAGTCACTTTCACTTTCACTTTGGCCCATCTCAGTAATTTCCTGTGTTTGTCCAGTTGTTCTTATCCCCAGCAGACTGGAAGTGTCGGTGCCATCTCTTCATAATTGAGCTTCTATCAGTAAGCAGACGGTTGTTTTCATCTCAACAGAGTTTCACTCTCCTTTTGTGGCATTTTATGCAAGTGACATGTTGACAAAACTTCCTGCTTTCTTTATATGGGTTTATACTATCTAACCTTTTTACTTTATATTCCTCATGCATTCTTTTCTTCCTGAAGATCTTCTTCTCTTGTGCTCAGTGTTCTTTATATAAATCAGTTGTTACTTGGGAGAACCTCACCTGGATCGTCATCTTGTATGCTCCATTCTTTTCTAATGTAGCTTTCTCACACTCAACACCATACCATGAGTTACATTTTACCTGCCGCTTCTCCTCCGAAAACTACAACAGCTACATTGATCGTAGTTTGTTAGATTTTATCCCATTCTACTTGTTTTCCAGAGTTATCACTGTTCAATTTTTGGATACTCGTGGCAACTTTTTGGGTAAACAACTGTTGCACTTCAGAACTCCGCAATTTTTCTACGTCAAATATTTTCCTAGTATTGTTATTTTCACATTCCTTATTTTCGTTTCTACAAATCCTACTTCTTATCTTAGATACGGCAAGAAAGTGATCGGAATCTGAGTTAGTTCCCCTCATATAGCGGACATCCAAGAGGCTAGACTTGTGCCTTTCGTCAATTAAAACATGGTCAATCTGTTTGTTGGCTATGATATGTGTCCATCACATGATGGACACATATCATAGGCTTTCTCCATAATGTCATAAAAAGTGTCCTTTTCACAATACTCTTTATATTCAATAGATGCATGTGGTGTAATTAAGCTATCGTTGTTAAATTTTCCTTTAAGTCTCAAAATATATATTCTCTCCTCTATAGGTATAAAATGTAATATCAGCTTCTAGTTCAAAGAAGAATGTTGGACGATAATGATGAATTCGATCCAGGAGACGTAAAAACTTGCACTAACCACCAGGCGTCCAAAGAGCAATTAGCCTCGAGGGAGGTGCTGCAGTGTGTTCCCAAAGATGTGTTCACACGATATTATGCGTAACATTATAAAATAGGTACCAAAGGAAAAGTTTAATAGAACATTTTCATGTCATGATGTTTTTCATGTCATGATGTTTTTGTGACACATCAATGTGTCACAAAAATAATGCATTTTTTGAAAAGATTAATTTCAATAGTTTTTGTGAAATAATAATAATTACATCTGAAAAGTAGTGATGTGCCAAATATTTAGAAAAACTGTAATTATTTGTAAAATGATTGCGTTTTAATCAGTTTTTTGCCATAACCGAAACTACATATAGTTCGAACATATTTAAAACAACATGATATTTACATTAACATCTGAAAAAAAAGAAAGAAAAAATTTTTTTTTTAAATGTTGTGTTCACGCATCAGAAAGACTTAATGGGTTAACCACAAGAGACAAAAATCTAAATATTACACATCACATTAGCAATACATTCAAATGAAGTTCACTTTCCCAGGATATTCGATTAATCCATGGATTAAACAAATAATCATTTACATTATAACTTGTTAAAATGGAAGATAGGCAGCAGAAAATAATGAAAGCCACTTCAATGAGGTTACATAAGAGTAGTCTGTTTGATGCGAGTACAATTACCTCGTTCCTTCTCAAGCTCTTCTTCTTCCCGTCGACGCTGCTGTTCTTGATACTTAAGCCATTCAGCACGATACTTTACTTGGTCCAATACTACATTCATTGAAGAACATTCTTCTTTCAATCTGAACATCAAATCTTTTGGCGGTATAAGCACCTAAACAAACAAATATGCACATTTTACAGAGCAAGGCAAAATCTGAGAGTATGTATTTACTTAATTTTGTTAAACTTTTCACAATTAAAACAACAAACAAAAAATTCATAATTAAAATAATTATTTCAACAACACAAATGATTGGTAGAAAAAATATTGAGAATATAATACTATTTCATAGCTGCAGGTAAGTTTTCTAAAGAAATATCAAGATTTATTTTAATTTTTTTAGCCTAATTTTACATGCCATTTTCAAGAAATGGTGCATCCAAATAAAATTTACAATAAAACACAAACTTTATGATAAATAACTCACCTCATAAAAATTTTCAGAAATATAAATCCAATACATAAATGTCTAAAAAATTTCATGTAAAAAGCTTGCACTTAGCAAACATGTCAATTTATCCATTTTTATTATGAAAAACAAAATTAAGATTTACCTTTGTATACTGTTCAAGAAGTTTGGTGAAGTACTGAAAAAGGGAATGTTGTGGCCGCAAAAAGTCAAATTGGTAATTCCGTTGTTCTCTATTCATGAGATTTGTCAGGAATTGTCGTCCATTTCTGGCTACAAATTGAGCAGTTAGCTTCACGATATCCCTTTAAGAATTAAAATAAAATTACTAACAGAAAAAGAGAAACACATGTAAAAGAAATTAAAGAAAAGATCATTAATAAATTTTATATTGGTTATGTATTTCTGGCCACTTACAAGTCAAGAGCAGATATTGAAGGAGGATCTGCTATAAATTCAAATTCAGGAGGTGGATCTTTAGGAATAAATGGTTGTTCTGATACTTGTTTCAAAATTTCCTGTTGTTTCTGCTGTTGAGATGACAAAAGAGCCTTTTGCTGAGGAACAGGAGGTCCAGGAGCAGTTGCATCTTGCCCTGAACATTGTACAAATTTAGATAGTCATTAATTTTAATCTTTCAACACAATTTTCATGGAAATCAATTTACCTCTTCCTTCACGGAAATCTCTGACTTTATGTTGATAATATGAATGATATGGATCTCCAAAATTCAAGAAGTTGAACTTGGGATTGCCAATTTCATTCTGTCTGATTCGAGCTTCAAACTCTGGTCCATTTCTGGCAACAAAACTTGCAGTTTTATCGACGATATCTTAATCTGAGGTAAGGAAAAATCTTGCCTGAACATGCAAATCTGTGGAACAGAACATGTCATTTCAAACAGTTAAATGTTTTGCCGTTTCAAGGATACTTCTCACCTCTGGTGGAGGATAAATGATCCCCACTATAGGTTGAGTAGCAGGAGCTTCATTTTCTTGAGGCTCAGGGGGTGCAGGTGCAGGTGGAGGTGGAGCCACAGGGGCTGGAGCCGCCTCAATGGAAGGCATTTTAATGCTGGAAACACAAAGATTTTGATTTTTCTACTACTGTACAAATTGTTGCATGTACATTTTCATTCAATAGTATGCATAAAGGAATGGATTTTTTTACAGAAACTACACAATAGTCGATTTGGCATTTTACTACGTACCACACAAGTGCACTACAAAGAAGAAATTACCACTCGTGCCGTAATGTAAATAATAACAATTTACCGAATTATAACCTATACACCACAGATTCGACAGGTTCGACAGCTTTTGTTACCACGTGCGGAATTGTGGGTTGTTTATTTTCTTCGGTCACAGTCGTTTTTTTTTCGGACGTGCACGAGCGTCAATTGATAATCTTCCGCGGACCAGCGCAGACACTTGTGATAATGAAGGAGCGTATGTACGCCCTGGAATGTAGTGCAATAATGCGCTATCAAACAACAATCCTAAACTTCGTTCAAGTGTTTATTGCGGTCTCCTTTGAGTTGGTATTTAACTACTATTCTGTTTTTTAATATAATTTCCTGTCACAATCATTATAACGAATCCTTCGCATTTTGGCTAATTTCTGCATTGTTATTGACACTTTTGGGAATTTTATCCTTTTAATTAATTTTGGTGTATTCATATTCATAAAAATTGACAAAATTGTGAATTTTTCTTCTATTTATTTACAAATTTTGTCACGGTTCGTCCGTGTTTGGGGAAAAGTAGTGCTCTAAATTTGACGTTCCCCATTAAACAAATATTCATTGATTTGGTAAATTCTCTCTTATTGCCACATGAATGAAGAATGTTGAAAGGGCTAATATGCAAAAGTGTATGTCGATGATTTGTCACTGACAACAATTACCCGCTTCTTTAGTCATCGCGGCAGAAATTGGAAGGAAGACGAGAGCCAATGAGGACGTGGAGTATTAATACAGTCGCGTGACGTTCGAGCGGGAAATAATATCACCGTTTGAGTCCATAGAATCAAAAAGGTTGGAAAAACTTAGGGAAATTATTCCGTGGTCTACATTTTAGACAAATCAATCAAATAGCCTCGTTCGTTGGCAGATAAAGCGATAATTATATATTGTTTTTCTTCTTGGTTAAACGACTGACACTCGCTCCATTCTATATTAATGTTCAAGAATACTTTCCATGCATTTTGTATGTCAAACGTAAGGGCAAATTCAAATGATATCACGATTAACATTAGAAGCGGTTTCACTATATTTACCATAAATTTTTCATTCATATTTGAAAATTCTGTTTTAGTCATATCATACTTGATGGGAAACAAATCGATACCAGAAAATGACAATAAGAGTCGATGGATAGATGGTTGGTTGTATAAAAATATAAGTATAAAAATATAATCGTAACAACAAGCCAAATTTTACCCGGAAGTTTGGCTTGTTGTTACGATTTAAAGCTTTTTAACAGTTGGAACTCCTTCACAGGTCTTCAGGAAGGGTTGTGCACATTATATATATATATATATATATATATATATATATATATATATATATATATATATAGAGAGAGAGAGAGAGAGAGAGAGAGAGAGAGAGAGAGAGAGAGAGAGATTTCAATTTGTTATAAAGTTATTTCGACCACAAATTATTTTGTCAAACTCATTTTAGATACAATTAATGCCTTTTTTACATGCATATTTCAGAAAAAATAAAAGCCATTGCCTGCAATTTTAGGTAAAATATCTGGACTTGCTGCCATTAATGATAAGTATAATGCCAATTTTATCTGTGTATAAAGACTCTAGACACCATCAGTCTTAAGTTTGAAACTTAGCTGAACACGATGAATCGCGTTTGCCTTATTGTTTTATTAGGCAACACCCTTGACGATCATGCATTACAAACTTCCATGCTACAGTGATCCCTGCAATTGTCATGCTGGGATTGCGAAGAGAAGGATAAGAAGGAAGAGGATGTGATGAAGCAGGAGGAGAGGAATAAGACAGGAAGGAGGCGAAGAAGTTCGAGCTACTGACAGCACAGTGCCGTTTACTTTGAACAGCAGAGGCCCAACAGTTTCTAGCAAGCTCAGAGTAAAATCGTAGAGAGAACATTGTGATGTCTCTTGGTAAGATACTACATCACAAACGATAGACGTATTTAAATTTGGAATTAACAGCTGGAGAATTTGATTTCTTAATGTACATTGACTATCCGTAGGGTTGGTAATATACACTTATCTCGCAAATTGAGCAGGTGCTAACCGCTTGTGTGAAGGTCGAGTCTATTATTACTATAGGTGTGATTACTGGCCTTCACATTCCCGTGGTATGGAATTCTAGAATAATTTTCTTTGATTAAGTAAAAACAGTAGGAAAATAAATGGTCGTGGGAATTTTTATTGTTCACTGAGGAAATTAAAAGAGGTGAACAATCGATATACTAGTTCGGTAAATTTCAGATTGAAAACATGTGAATTATATTGAATATGTTAAAAATGAATTATCTTAACGGCCAATTCGCATTACATGACTGTAAATTTCCTGATTGCAATTGCATTATTGCACAATTCTCGTTGCTCATAAGAGCGAACAGAAACAAGCGTCGGGCAGAATAGCTGGCCGATTTCATGAATAATTGTCACCACCCTGTCACCTTTGCTCGATTTTAGTCATTATGTTTTGTTTTTACATTGAAGTATTAAAAGTGAATAAATAAAACGTTGAAATCCTTAAATTATATTCTGACTAAAAAGTTCGCCGAGATAAGTACTAATCTTCCCACACCACGATTCGAGAAACGTCTTTAGAACTATTCTAAGACAGTTACTCCCGTTTGAATTTAGACGACAAAAAAACAAGTGAAAGGTCGCAAAAATCATCAGACCAAAACAACCAAGGCCCTCCCTCGTAAACAGTGGGTCGGGAACAGAGGAGTCGAGTTGAGAACTCGAGGACAGGACGCCGCCGGTCGCAAGCCGAGCGGAGGGGGCGTCCGATCTCGGCCGACGAACGCCGAGGGCAGCCGAAGGTCGCGGCGTCGCGTCGCGACGCGTCGTTCTCGCGCCGCTCTCGCCAGGCTCTCGCCCCGCGCGGCTGCGTGGACCCGCGCCACGCCGCGCCGCGCCGCCGGCCGGCCCGCGGCCCGGCTCGGCCCGACCCGGCCCGGCCCGGCCGGCAGCCGACGCTATACGCGCGCGCCGCGCTCGGCCCCGGCCGCTTCCGGCTGCCGTTCAGAGAGCGCGCTGCGGTGGCCGCACGGCCGCTCCGACCACGTGCTCCGCGCTGCACCGCGCCGCGAAGCCACGCCGGCGGCATGGCCTCGGCGGGAAAGCGGGCGACCCACGCCCCCCTCTCCGGCAACGCGGGACGCCGCGCCGTGCCGCCGCCGCCCCCGCCGCTGGCAGCTCGACCGCATTAGCCGCTATTGGCTGCGGCGCGAGCGCTGTTATCTGCTCGCTTTCCGCAGCCCTATCGTTTGTACACAGATGCAGTCTCCGAAACACCCGCATATTGCCGTTTACCGACAAATTTCTTAACACCTCAACCCGCTCCTTTATTCTTTTCTGTTCCGAAACTACGGCGGCATCGACAGGAATGTCGCAGTACTTTCTTCTACTATAATTAATTATTCCACCCTTTGAGAAAGCCAGGAAGTAATGAAATGAAAACTCGTGTGTGAAATTTTAAAGGAGAAACGTGTGACTCTGGATAATTATCCTTTACATCCGATGTGGCGAAATCACTGATTCACATGAACCAGCTGTTCTTTTTGGTCTGCAATGTAAACTTTACATAGTGATGCACAGTCGCGATAATGGTTATCACGAGTTCGAGCGATAGGATTATTGACATAAAGTTTGACAAAAGTATTTCGAAAACTGTGAGATACCCAGATCAGTCGGAGCAATGAGTCTCTCTCCAAAGTTACACGTTACACTTTTTTCGGCGTCCCGTTCAAATCAAACATGTTCTCTTCAAATCAAACGTGTTTTCTTCATGTTCTACTTTCTATTTTATAAAAGTAATTGACACTTTCACAATTTATTTTAGAGTCGATATATCGATTTATTTTCATATTATGAAAATCCTATTCTGCGTTTGATCACGAACTTCCTTGAAATTCCGAAAAAGTATAAAACCAAAATTAAAGACTTTTTCATTGAAAAGTGTACCTCTCAAAATATTTGAAAATCCAAAACATTGGATTTTTTTCAATTAAGCCACTACTCTACTAAAGATATAATACAATGTATCGATTAAGAATTACACCCAAAATAAACGTATAATAGACAAATAAATTAAAGTTAGATCTATTATTTACATTTTCATTTCAGTATTTAATCGAAGACAACAATGTGGAACCAAACCAGAAAAGGAGAAATTTATTATTATTGACGGTAAACTCCAATCCTGATTATTCCGATTAATAATCACATAATCATAATAATTACATAGTACCCGATATAATCATGAACGTCTCGAAATTAAAATGAAATAAGACTTTTAGTTTCAAAATTACAAAGAATATTTACAATTTGTTCAAATTATTAATTTGTAGTTAAGAAATATCATTCTTAATCCATAGAGTGCGATTCATTCAGCGATTTAATTTTTTGTTTTTAGATTCGCGTGGAACGCGTCAATTATTACTATACCACTTGAAGTTGGCAAACATGGGAGGTCTGTGTTTGTTAAGGATAGTCTTGCTGTGTCCTTGTTATCACGATAACTGTTGTACAGCAGTCATGAAATAAATCAGCATTAAAGTGTTAGAGAACCTAAGGGAGTTCTTTTAGTTCACTGACTTACATTGCGAATCTCTCTGCGCGCGTTTTCAGTGATACAAATTAAAGGTTTCTATCAGACACGAGTTAATTGAAATGTTTGAAGTAACCTGACATGCAATACACGTTATTTATCATTCTTGGACCGTGCGCGGCTACGAGTATGATTTTGGCCCATAAAAGAATGCCTTGTTTGTATATGAATTAAGGGGCACTATGTTAACTGAGACTTCGAGAATGCTCGATGCATTCATGAACTGAATCAGTGCCCGTGAGAATGGGCTTCCATTAAGCTAGAGATAAGCAGGTTTTTAAACACACGATACAATGACAATAAATTTAAGTAAGTACATTATTTTTTTAACACGCTGTGCGTGAAACGCGGTATCTCGTGCTTGTCCTCTGAGTGCGAAACAGCTAATTTTTTCAGTGTGCACCTTTAACGATTCGCAATTGTCTTTCAACTTGACGACGTCTTTGTTTATTATTTACAAACAATAGTGTTACGACACTGACTAGAATTCATTTACTTTTGTACTAGTACGGTATTTCTAGTTATTTTATATTTAATGTACATTCATTTTTACGCATTGCGTTTCGTTCACGGCGTGTTAAA